AGACAGACAGACAGACAGACAGACAGACAGACAGACAGACAGACAGACAGACAGAGACAGAGAGAGAGAGAGACAGACAAAGTACAACGTTTACACACGCGTTTAGAAGAAATTGAGCGAGTAAACAGATCAAGAAGGTCCTTGTCTATCACCACCCTTCACACTCTTAACCCACGACCTATCACTCAGTCAAATCCAAATTGCACGAGCCCAAGAACCCCGCTGAGCTTCAAGGTCAACATCTCTTTTAATGGGCTAAACACTGAGACAGAGCTAAGAATTTACCCCCCTAGTCTTGATGACATCAGCGAGGCCCGATCGGGCAGAGCTAACAACATAGAAAATATATTGAATCTACGCACATTTGGCTACGTTCTTCCTTTTCAACAACCTAGTTTCTAGCTTTATTTAGGGTTTTAAGGAATTTGCAACCGAATTGGGTCATATAAGTGCCGAAGATTAGAGGTCCTGCTACTAGAGGGTAATACACACACAAAAGAATTGGGAGGAGAGATAAGGACGATAGAGATATTATGATAGGAAAGAAAGAGCATACAACACAAGAGCACCAGCCAACCACCCACTGTCAACATCCAGTCTGGTAGACATTAAATCGACCAGACGATCAATGACCTTGTCACAGCTGTTGTTGCTTATGCAAGTGGTTTTGTTGGAGTGTTTTTGTTGTTTTTTTAATGTGTGTTTTAGGGGTTGTTGCTTTTTGTTGTTGTTGTTGTTGTTTTTGTTGTTGTTGTTGTTGTTGTTGTTGTTGTTGTTGTTGTTGTTGTTGTTGTTGTTGTCTTTGTTTGAGGGGGAGGTCGTCATCTTTGTTGCTGCTGTTAATTGAGTCGATTAATTAACGCCAAACTTGACACAACGGTTCGAAGGTAAAGAGCTTCGGAACACCTTTAGCACAGCCACGGCAGGGGGGGGGGGCGTTTATTGGGGTAAAAAAGAAAAAAGAAGTCATCAACACGTGATAGTCATTAAATGCAAGGGGAAAAAGCTTTAAGTGTCTCCAAATGGAGGCAATTAACAATTCGACACTTCCTCCGATAGCGTATCACGTCACTTCCCAAAAGACCATGGGTCCTTGATGAGAGAAGAGCCACAAAAACTCGCTGTAAGTGATTCAAACATGCAGTATGTTACATGCAAGACGAAAAGTTGTCCGACTGTTCGCAAAACCCTAAGATTAATATGAAAATATATCACAACATCAAATTTAAAGCAGACAAAAGCATCGGGAAACAACATTGAGTTAATGCTCCAGTTCGGGTTAGCTTTCGTTTAGTTTAAGGGGCAAGAGTTTGACGGCACTTGCACCACAAATATGCCATGTAAGTGTTGAAGATTATAGCGTGTTGCTAGAGAGTAACATACAAAGAAAACAAGTGGGAATATATAACGACGATAGCTATTTGATATGAACTAAGAAGCAAACCAAATCAGAGCACCTGCCAACAACCCACTCAAAAAAACAAAAAAAAGACGGAGACACTTGATAACTTCGTTTGAGTGAAGAGAAATGCATCAATACAATGTCGATCCTTAAGAGCAAGGACGAAGCAGGGCAGATTGACTGAAACAAAACGGGAGTAGAAAAGAAACAGGGCCTAAAAAGTG